AATTATCACACATCAAAGTATCAAACATTTGTTATTTTGTTTTACTCATCCAAAATTATTACAACCTAACTAAGTATAATAGTATATATTGAAATTGAAGTTGTTGGCTTATAAGATTTGGTTATCAATGTATATTATTAATTATAATATAATAATAAACATGATTAAAAATTATAAGAAAATAAAATCTCCTATAAATTTTAATGTCTTATGATTAAAAACAAAATAAAATCCCCCATAAATTTTAATGTGATCATATTCATATGATTATACTGGCATAAGTTTAACCAGTTATTAAGATAAATAAACAATATGACTTTCAATATAATTATACTAATTTTTGTAAATGAATTAAATAGAATTTATTTATGTAATTATATGCAATTAAAACTTAACTATATGTACTTTTATTTTTTGTCCATTATAAAAAAAAGGAATAAATATTATTAATCTTAAAAAAAATTATTTTGTTGATTATTTCATGACAAATCTAAGTAAGAGCGATAGCTTCATAAGGTGCAAAACTTACCCTTCAAATGTTCCCACATCAAAGATTTTGGAGAAAGAATGCCACCATAAAGGTGGCCTCAACATCATCATCAACGCAATGGTGCCTTGGAGCCCTGAGGTGAGCATGATGTGAGAGTACGGACTTTTGACCGATGATGAGGTAAGCGTGATTCAAATGTGGCTAGGGCCCACCACTATAATTTTATAAAAAAGCTACTTCAAAATTCCATGTTCACTGTAACGACTTGGAATCCCGTTTTTTCACTGAAGCCGGAACGTGCTGGGCAATACCCAATCCGGATCGCTCGATTCCAGATCGGATCATTGATTTTTCAAACATTGGTGGCAACCAATAGGGTTTGGAACTTGGAAGTGATATATCTAAATTCATTTTCTTGTCATGTATCTTATGTTAAATAGGGAAGACAAATAATTTGTTACTTGCTGATTCTCTTAAATAAAAAAAAATTAAAATGTAGTGTTTCTTTTTTTTTGATGCTGAAGTGAAAACATGTGGTTTTTTATTGAACTTTTGTGGATGCTATCCCTGTGATTTCTAACAAACTTTGACTGGATGCTATCCCTACTTTGTGATGATATTATGTTATGGGAATGTATGGTTTGACTTCATTAATACATCTGCCTATGGACATCATTGTATGCCTGGAAATTTCTTTTGCATTGATACCATCTTTGAATTGATATATTGGCCATTTATTCCATGAGAATTATTGTCAATTAACTATTTGTCAAAGTATTTGAATGTTAATATAAATTATAGTATTTATTGAATGTGGATTATCTTCCTTCTTTCTTGCCGTGTGTCATTTAAGGATAATACCCAAGTCATTTTTGTGTTTGATGACCATTTCTTGTAACAAGTTATGGTCATTAGTCAAAATAGATGATATTAAGCTCAAGGACTTCAGAAATTTTATTTTTTTGACTTCTCCATTTCTCTTTTCTTCCATTTCTTGGTGGTGAACGTGGAACTATAATGTTATGAAATTTGACCTCTGTAATTTGCTAGTATCATGCTAGTGAATAAATTAGAAATTTTGATCCAGATTCAGATTAGATGTTAGTACTATTATATTTTTAACTAGCTGAAAGACTAGAATCATGGATTGGAACTTTGGATGTTAACTTTGATGGCAAGATCTTGAGGAAACAGTGAAGGTGCTAGCTCCTAAGAATTTGCTTTGGACAGTGGGGCATCCTGGGAAAGATTTTTAGTGAAGGGGGAAGTCAATATGTTGAAATGTTATGCACATTTAATTGGATTTCCTATTTGGATAATGCAGCCATGCTGCCTAGCCTGCTTCTCGGTTCTACCTAATGCTTACTAGGCTCCAAAACTCCATCCTACAGATCTGGTATCCGCTCTTTTGGGTTATCTTCTTTAATGTTATGAGATCCTGCCTCAGTGGGACACTTTGGCATTCTGGTTGTGTGTCACAACCCCGCCCCCTGACTCAAAGTCGTATGAGCCGGCGACTGCAGGGTGCGGAACCGTGATGTGAGGTGGCGAACGCCACTTAGGTGGGAGTGGCTCATTCGCATGAAATCACGGAATCGAGAGCAACCATGAAAGTAAAACTAAAATCTACACATGAAGACCGATATCAATTCCAAAAGTACAGCCATGCCATTAACATCTGATATCCAAAGTTCTTACAATTTTTCTTCAAGGAACTAATGGCCCAAACTACAAAGTACAAAAGAACATCCAAGGGGGGTAAGACCACTAAAACCTACTATGAAAGCTTCGAAAGGCGTTTCTCCAACTTCAAACTTCAAACACCCAAGCACCCCACAACTTTCCGTCTTCTGCTCAGAGACTACTACTTTCACTCTAGAATCATGGAAATAAGATGGAATGAGCTGATAGCCCAGTGAGCAGATCTACACCATGTCATCCTACCTATTCAAGCAGTGACAACAGTAAGCAGTGCATACTTATTCACAGAACATCAAGAGAGAGCCCTCTAGAAGGCCTTTCAGTATTCTAACAGTATAATAAAAAAAGCAGTTTAATACACAGTGCATAAATTAGAAGTCAATTCACTTTAAGCAGAACAGTAACGATAACAAATCACAGTTGTAGAAGCTAGAGAGGCCTATTCCTGAAATAGAAGTTCCATTGCTCATGCTAAGCCAATCTTGTAGCTTGAAACCTCCACTCTCATTCAGGAGGGAGGACAATGACAAGTGGGCATCCCACTTCGTAATGCCCTCACGTACACACACGTCCCCAACACTCTGGGTTTTTTTTGATAGGCAGTAGCCTTGCAAGACACGACCCTCTCATATGCCATTATGGCAAAAAAGCGTTACACTACCATTGGGTGACCAAATGTGTAGTGCCCATAATAATTGGGGGGTGCAACCCACCCAATTTCTCAGTTTCCCTTCCCGACCTCAGTCCTATCGTTGGGGTCGAGGTACAGTTCACAATTACCTGTATACAGTATCCAACTACCAATGGGTGACCCATTGTGTAGTGGTTAGGCACATAAGGGCTTACAGTATCAGTGCTTCCTCAGTATAGCAGTACCACCACCAATGGGTGTCCCATTGCGTAGTGGTCAGTATTGCATTATCATGCTTCCAATATCACAGTATTAGTAACAGTGGCACAATACCAATAGCGGTATCACAGTAACAGTAGCAGTATCGCAGTAATAGTGGCAACATCACAATGATAGTGACAATATCACAGTAATAGTGACAGTATCACAGTTAAGCATTTCAGCTTAATTTCTTACAATTAGAGGCAATGACGTGCGCTTGCAAATAGGGTTGTAACTTTTGGTCCATTTGGAATTTGAAGACGGTTCCAAAACCAATTTTTGGTACTAGACACAAATCTTTCAAACAGAGGTGTCTTGAACATTTGACCCCTTAGAGGTTCAAGAAGTTTGGGGTTTACTAGCTGTATTCTCCTGTGTACAGGAGACAGCGACATACCCTGCTTCAAACCATGATAACTTTCAATCTGTGAAGAATTTCGAGACAATTTCAAAATCAAACTTTAAGCCAAGACGCATATCTTTCTAACAAGGCTAATTTGAAAGCATTTGTACTATATTTGGTTGCTCAAAGGTCCATGCCAAACAAGATGATAGTTCTGAGTTTTACCAAAACTGTCTACATATCTACACAAATGATGCATAAATTTCAATCTAAGAAGAATTTCAAGACAATCTCTACATGCAAATTTTAGCCCTTTCAAAAACCTTTCAAATGACTGTGGTTTGACAGGAAATGGACTTCGTTTGGTCAATCAAAACCAGTGCCAACAGTAGTGTCAGGGACAAATCCAGGAAAAACAGTCAACAGTGACACACACGTACATTTTGAAACATAAGTTCATTTCTATAAAGAATTTCGACAGTGGGCAAACATAAATATTTTACTAGACTCACATATCTTTCCAATAGCCGTGATTTGAGGTCAATCGGACCTCGTTTGACTGTTCAAAAGCCCCTTACAAAAATGTGTATATTCCTAGAATTTCACTGTAATGATACACATGCCTCAAGAACATATTCCATAACCTCAATCTCATGATAAAGAACATGATAGCCACTGTTCTCTCACAATATGCACACATAAACATGCATTTCTTACAAAATTATGAATCATACATTCATTCTTCAATCATATATTCTGTTGGTTCTTTGATTACAGAGTTTGGTGATCTTATGCTACCTCCTAAATCTGTTAGACTTACCGTCTAACAGATATTCTTCTTTTTATCTCAATCCTACGTCTTTTCTTTATCAAGATTGAGAACATATTATAAGGTTTATTGAACGGTTGATTCCCGAATCTCTCATTGTCATATACTTATAAAAGTGGATCATGTTACTTGATGTTGTTGCTAATAGTGATTAGCTGAATCTTACTTTAATAGTGGCCAAGTTGCATCTTGAGTTTGTGAACCCATGTAGATTACTTCAAAGGTGGGGACACCAAGCTCCATTTTATGCATGGAAATATATACTTATGTATCGTTCCAAGTTTTAAGTTTTAATCAGTGTGGGATCAAACCCGCATACATTATACACACACACATGATAACTAATAAACTCAGTGAGAACATTTTGAGTTTGCATATTAAAAAAAAAGAGCTTGCATTTCTTATTGATGAAGTTATCTGAGATTCTGTCCATTACAATCTGTCAACGATGGTTTATGCTTGGGGGTGACATATAAGTGTATTAGAATTTTCTTTACGATTCAGCACATTGATTGCTGGTTTATACTTATTCCATCTTGTTGGTATGACACATTCAACCATAACAAATCATTTGTTTAACTATTGTCTTGTGAACTATCAAAATAGATTATCCTTTGTGTTGTGTCTAGGAGATTAATTTGGATCATATTTATTGGATTTATTAGGGTACAGAAACAAAGGAGACTAGTATTATACTCAATGCACATTGCTGCTTATGCCATATCCTTTCTTTCCTTCTATGCAGAACACGTGTAAAACTAAAGAAGGCTGGTGTTATTCTAGATTTGGTGCCTCCTCCCACAAAAGTCAACAACCTCATTTTTGGACGCACTTGGGTTGACTCACCTGGGGAGATGGTCATGACAAATATTACCACTGGTGACAAAGTTGTCCTTTACTTTCAACCATGTGGCTGGTTTGGGTAACTTCTTATCATCATTGCTTCCTTTCCAGATTTCCTTGGATGACAGCTTGCTTTCTTTTCTTTTGGATGAATCGGTTGGATTAGATGTACTGGTACCCTGTAAAATTATATCTGTTTTTGAGCATATCAATGCACTTGACATTATAAAATCCTCTTCTAATTTCCCATGCTTTGAAATCAAACAGAGTATTTAAACTGTTGCCATAAATTTTATCAAGGAAAGTGTATCATACTAGCTTGTTATGTGGGACAGCTTCGGTTTTTTGCTGTTGTGATTCTAAATTGAATATATGACCGTGCTTTTCCATTTGGTAATTTCAATGGATCTTGTGGAGTCAAATATTTTAGTAGGAGACTTCTGATTTTATAGTTTTTCTTATAGTAATATTTCGATGAATTGTCAAACAATACAAAGAAACAAACCATAATAATATTGCCATGAATTGTCAAACAATACAAATAAACAAACCATCGTAATATTTCCATGAATTGTCAAACAATACAGAGAAACAAACCTGATGAAGAAAAAATGGAAAATCCTATGTAGGAACACAAACTTGCATTATTACCACCTCTTCCGTTGTGGGAATACACTTATTCAAAACTATGATTCAAAACCCACTGATCTGGATCATGAATTGCCTCTTTGGATCAGGATTCGTTTTAGGACAAACGAGTTCATGGCAAGTATAACTGGTCGACTCAGTGGTGGATTGCCCATTCTCTCTCAATCTAGATCGTCTGGATCATCTAGTTCCCACATATTGCATTTTATTATTATTTTTCCTTTTTTTAATTTTTCATGTTTTTGGTACCGATTCTCACTCTGTAGAATCGGTTGGACCACCGATCCGTATCGGTAATTCGTCGATACTGGTTTCCTGGATGACCTATTTGCCTGGTTTTCCTAGGGTTTTTTTTTTTTGTCTTTTGTTTTTTTGATAATGTGTTTACCTAGGTATTAAAACACTGCTTCAAAACCTTTGGTTATATTTTCATAATTAGAATTTTGTTGCTTTTGTATTTCCAGGATCCCCCTTTGACAATTCTATAGTTATGTTTTTCATGAAGTTGAAACTGGTAAATCGACAACTTTGGATGTTACAAGAATTCATAAGAAAACTTTTATTTTCTACGACTAACAATGATGAACTAAAATATTCATGCTACAAAACTATGATATGGTCTTATGACCATGTAACTTATGAAGTGCTCTGCAATGGTCTTGAGCACAAAGAGTAGAGAGATATGAGAGGCACTTGAGCAATTGAGCATCCATAGAGTAGTTGAGTGAAAATTAGTGGCTGCTGGGAATATGGGTGAAGAGGCGATGAATGGGGGAATCACATTAAATAATCATAATTTATTTAGGGTGTTGTTTGTAGAGGAATGTGTATATTCAACACAACAGGATTACAGTGAGGAACTTTAGGACGCATGTATTTAGTAGAGGTAGCTAGAGGTCTTTCTATCCCTAAATTAATGTGGGAGTCTCCAATCTTATCAGCTTCTTTTTGTATGTATCAGAATGAAATGAAACACTTATTGATAGGTTTAGAATGAGCTAGTGTTCCCTTTGATATTCCTAGCTGTCGCAGTTTGGATGAATCATGTTAAGCCTTCTGAACTGTGTTAAGAGATTCATGTCTATAACTAAAGGCTCAAAGGAGACAGCCCTCTTCCATAAACCACAACCTGTGTGGTACATTCCATGCCTTTTTCATTGAAGGTCTATCAAAAAATAATGAATTCAAAGAATAGGAAAATGAAACCAGATAATTGATTGGAATACCTAAAAAGTTGTCATTTTTTCTTTTTCTATTTTCCAGAAACATTTAAATCTCTTTAACTGTGACGTGTCAAGAGGAGGAGGAGGAGCCTGTGTTTTGGGGGACGGGGGAGGGTTTTTGGTTAAAGGATTGTGTATAAGACCCTTTCTGTTTTGTACAATAAGGTCCAATCATCCTTACATCACATGTGAAATCCGACGGCTTGGGGTGTCATAAAGCCCAAGAAAATTCTATTTACATCTAATGGCTAAGGGTTACTATGACGTCCTCGTAACAAAGATCTTATTGTATGCTTCCCTCCGGTTAAAGACTTCTTTGGTTCAAAGTTTATTCAAGGGGATTATTTGAATGCCATTTGATGGCTTCATGGGGACTCCTTAGCTCATTGCCAATAATATCGTTGGAAGTCAAGGACAAATTGTTAATTATTTGTATTTTGAATATTTTTCGTTTCTAGAGAGACCCCATCTCTGTGGCTGTTAGATTCGCCAGTATATGATGCTGCTGTGGGACTATATGCGACCCTAGTTTGCGTTTTTGGATTGGAGATTAATGGGGAAAGGGTTTCCCATCTGTGGTACTAGTGGAATTCAAGACATCATGTTGTGGTACCCGCCATCCTGACCACCTGTGCCTTGAGAATGAAACTCAAGACGTCATGTTGTGGCACACACCAACTTGATGTCTTGAGTTCCATTTTTACCACAGGTAGGGGACCATTTTCCCACTTATCTACCCAAAAAAGACAACTAAATAAAAAGAAAAACAGAGGGTTCACTTTCTCCATCATATAAGCATACACATGGTTCGCCCTCTTTGGAGAATTTGTCATTTATAGACTTTAGCAAAGATCATAGATATATTGTGACTCATCGCCAATGGAAAAAGATGTAATTTGAATCCCATTTATGATTTTATGGAATAGTAGTTAATGAGCCAGGATGTGATCTTGCCGTTAATCAAATGGAATATTCATGGTAAACTAGATTGCGTCTGTTTTTGCTTCTAGAATTAACTTCCATAAACCATATTCATGAAATTTAATGTGTGCATAATTTCTCTTTCTAGTTCACTTGGTAGATGCTGGACGGTTTTGTTTTCTTAGCAGTAGTTGTTTATTACAGAGCTGGTCGATATGAAGTTGATGGATATGTCTATAATGCGGATGAGAAGCCTAAAATTCTGATGACTGGCAAGTGGAATGAGGCAATGCATTATCAACCCTGTGACTTGGAAGGAGAGCCCCTTCCTGGAACTGAACTTAAAGAGGTCAATTGTGATTTCCCTTACACTATACCTTTTGAATCCTCCCTTTTCTTTTGCTACTGTTTCTACTTTTACAAAATACGTGAATGCTAAATAGATCAATTGTTTCTGTGCAATATGAAGAGCATGAGAAAATATTGGATGCCTTTAGTCTATATGAAGTTATGGGCACATTGTTTTGCTTGTTAAATTTTGTCTGCACAATATGGCCTCTCGAGTGTTTGTCTTAATGGTTACTATCATGTAAGATCAAAAACTGGTTCATGAGTGGCTTGGCTTTTACATGAACCAAATGCGAGTTGGGCCCTAGTCCAATAAAGCAAAGTATTAATGGGTTAGCATTTCTCAATAAATTTTGTGCAATGTTCTGCAAAATTTGCCAGAGTTGTGCATTTGAATATGTATGAACTCATCCAAACATCAACGAAAGGCTTTCACTGTCATTATGCATGTGTGCTCCATGAAAGTGTGCATGTAGATATTCAAGTATGGAGTTATGTGTACATTTCAAATTGTGATTGTTTTTCCAACTTTTCCAGGTGTGGAGAGTTGCTCCTGCTCCAGCACATGACAAATTCCAGTATACACATTTTGCTCACAAAATTAACAGCTTTGACACAGCACCCAAGAAGTTGCTAGCCTCAGATTCGCGATTACGGCCAGACAGATATGCTCTTGAATTGGGTGATCTATCGAAAGCTGGTTCCGAAAAGAGCAGGTATCCTTAACATTGTTTGTAGATGTATTCCTCTGTTGTTCATTGATCTTAACATTGCCTCCTTCTTTCTTCTAATTATGAATCTGTGAGTTGCACGTTTGGCATTCTTATCATACAGGGATAAGGTCATTGTTTGTATCTACAAGAGTGATTTTAAATGAGAAATTTATGTGGACTTTTTGTTCAATATGCTTTATAATATATTACATAGCGTTGGTTCTGTATTTCAATTGCAGTTTGGAGGAGAGACAGAGAGCTGAGAAGAGAAACAGGGAGGGCAAAGGTCACCAATTTGTTCCGAGATGGTTCAGTCTTTCCGGTGAGGTCTCGCAAACACCTTGGGATGAGTTAGAAGTGTACGAGTACAATGGAAAGTACACAGAGCACCGAGCTGCCATTGATAGCTCGAGCTGTGACCTAGAAGTTGACCCCAAGTTCATTGAGTTCAATCCATGGCAGTATGGTAACTCGGAGGCAGAGTGACGTACTCGTTTGTTAAATTTTCTCTCTCTGGTGCCATGGTCTTTTAAATTTTCAATTTTATTTGTTAAATTTTTTGGTGGCTGGAACCGTGGCTTGTTGGTTGTGGATCCCTGAGACTTGTTGGGTTTGAGGAAGTTGTGTAGATGGCTTCTGATTTCATATATTTATAATGTCATTCTTAGAAATGTCCTTTTAATTTTGTGTGATTAATTGTCATGGGCCGGTGTGGTTTTAGTTAGAATTAACTGGCCAGGGACCAATCCTCTCTCTTTCTCTCTCTCGTCCCATGTAAGTGTAAATGAAGTCAAGAACTTTGTCTCTCTCTAGTCCCATGAAAGTGTAAATGAAGTCAATAACTTTGCAGGTTTAAGGCAATTTCGCCAACAATTGTGTGGAAACTTTGCAGGTGAGGGCATATTTATGGGGTAAAACTGTAGAAGTAAATAATCAAGTCAATGAATATTTTACATAATATACCCCATAGAAAATCATATAACAAATTTCAATATCAGATTCAAATTGAACAATCATATTCTATAGTATCTGTATGTTAGGAATCATATTACAGGTTCTCTAGCTGTCCCAACAGACGGTTGATGAGTGCTGTTTCTTTGTTCAAACCCTGTCAAAATTTGATGGTATACCATGAACAAGATAGGTTGTTCAAAGTGTTCATTATTGACATTGGATGGTCACAGGAGCTCTAAGTGTCTGTTTCCAAATAAGTGTGACGTGATCCTTATGACGGCAAAATAGTTGGGAAAAAGCTTCGATGATGATGATAATGTGTCGACCCCAAATAGTCCATGGTGATAATGATGATGATGATGACCTTTTGACTGCAAAATGGTTCCCTTTCTTTTCACATTTCTCTTGTAGTCCTGCTGGTTATTTCTCTCCTCTTTCCACATGCAAATAGTGTGCTAGCTGCAAACTTTGATGGCTGATTAGAACCTTGTGCTTTTGGCTTAGTCTTCATGGCAGTGGTATCTCCTCTTCTATTCCATGTTGCCTAGACAACACACTGTGTTCAACACGTTTGAAGTGTTAGACAACACCATCAACATCACCCTAGCTTTATTCAGCTATTTGCTATTTGGGTTTATAGTGTAGACATCATCATCGTTGTCAAAGTTGTTTCCCAACTAATTGGCTTGGAAGTCTTAGACATGGTGATCTTTACACATAAATGATACGGCTATACGCTTTTCTGAATTAGAAATTAATAATTATAAATTAATATAAACTATATATTAAAAAATATAAAAAATATAAGGGATTTTATACGATGGAGTATATAGACCATTTAACTATGGTCTTGATATAAAGGAAATGTTTCTATACTTCCTTTACAACATAGAAGATCTATGTTTCTTCTACTATCTAGTTGTCCAATTTTGATCAAGAGAGCCACTCACTGTTTGATCTTAGATTTGACGTTTCAAACTATTTTATGTTTAGATTTTTTTATACAAATTCTATGAATACGAAATTTGGTACGTATCATCTTCTCATTGGGGCTCACCTATAAAAAATATTAAAAATAATTTTTCGATAAAATATACTGACCCAAATACCCCTTAAAATTTTCAGGGGTATTTTGGTCATTTTATTTTATTGAAAATATTGTTTTTATATTTTTGCTAGTACAATTTTAATAAAGGATTGGACATATAAAATTTGGTATCAAAATAGTTTATAAATAAAAATAAAAATAAAATAATGTAGAGACGTGACATTGTGATTGGGGCAATCTTAATCCTCCATTCAGAATAGACAGTTGGATAAGGGGAATTATATAAGTTTTATGTTGTAGGGGAAGCATAGAATGTTTGTCCATAATATAAACATGTACAAAACATTTAAATATGCACTACAGTTTTTATGAGTCCTTGGACCTGTAGAAATGTGTCCCCACTTAATAATTCCTTTTTGAAATAAATTTCGACCTTGATTCTTAAGGAATATACAATCCCTAACACGGGGATCATTAATATGTATACAATTTTTGAAAAACTAAAAATAATATTTTCTTAGAAGGAAATATTTGAGCTGTAGATGTTAACCATTGATGTAACCTTTTCTTTGGAGGGACCATCACTTGCACCCATCTTTAGATGGATGATTCATGCCTCGGGGGATGTAAATGTAGAAGTGTATCCTTTGATGCATGAACCGCTTTTCCTTTAAACATGACACGTGCTGCAATTGTTTTTATTGCGGTTTGTATAAGGTACCCTCCTTATGATATGGAAATAAGGTGCACTTTTAAAATTTACTTGGAGATTTAGTTTCGGTATTAAGAATGGCTTGAAAATCCATTTTTTTTCTATATTTATGAAATTTAAAATATAAAAAAAGTACAGATCGAACAGATCTATAAACATTTGAAAATTTTGAAAATAGACGGTTCATATAATTTGTTATAAGATGCACTATATTTAAAACTTGAAATTTTTTCTTTTATTCATATCTACGTATCTCAAGTTCGAAAAGAGTTGTAACTCTCTCTTCTAGAGGATCTTTTTCATTTTTTTTAGTACTTGAAAGACAATCACGTGGAAACCCAATGCTTGGTCTATTAGTCAAACTTTAATCTTATATAAACTTTTTCCATTTTTTTTCCCAGGTGCTTGAAAGACAAATCAAGTGGAACTGAAAAGCTTGTTTTATAGTGACGCACTGAAAGCTTTGAGCAACGTGCTTTTTCAACCTTGAGAAGTATGTGTACATGTTACCATACGAGAGAGATTCACATTAACCTATTGTTTATAAATCGTTTGGTTTTTTTCCCCTTCGTAGATAAAAAGAGAGAGAAACTGAAGGATATAGAAAGAGAGGTGCGGTCCTATTTGTTTTAGGTCAAAAAAACAAAGAGTTACGAGGATGTACATTCCACTTTACTCATTAATTCATGATTTTTCGATTTTAATCATATTAAACTAAAAAAACTTGACACTTTGACCGCATGGAGTAGTGTCTTTATGGTGAAGTGATCGGCCCTCTTAGTTACCAGGTCTTAGGAGGTCTTTATGTATAAATAAGGGTGTGGTTTGTATAAGGTTGTAATTTTATTTGTAGAAAAATATATATATAAAGTTGTAACTTTATTTGTAAAAATAAGATTACAGTAATCTATACTGTATATTTTATTTGGACAGTGTAGATTTGGATACTACTTTAAAAAAATCTTTTAAGATAATGTAAATATAAGACAAGTCTTTTAAAATAGTATCTAATCTGCACTGTCCAAATAAAATGGACTGCATAGATTACTGTAATCGTATTTCTACAAATAAAGTTACAGCCTTATATAAATTTTTTCTAAAAATATGGTTTGTATAAGGTTGCAACCTTAAATGTAAAGTATTAAATAGTTCATCTCTCTTATGTATTTTTGATAAATTTCCCTTCAGATAATATTAATAATGTTAGAAATTTTTGGAAGAGGGGTCAAACGGGGTTGACAGTCTTCAGGTTGTTAGATTTGAAGACAGATTGAAGATAGATCTTCCTCCTTTGAGGCATGTCGCCCTTTCATAATAATAAGTGTGCATAAGTTTCTCCGGGCAAATTTATTCTCGGGATATTTAAAATAGAAGATCAAACAATTAAACCTCAAGATGCTACAGTTTCATTTCTTTTAGAGTAAAGGCAAGTAAAAAAAGTGAAATAGAATGTAAAGGGTTGTATTTTGTATGTGAAAGCTAGTCATCTTTCTAGTGTTTATAAAGAGAGTTTGTTTTTTCAAGTCATGGGTTGTGTCCATTTGATGTCTTATGATAATGTTAAATATTTCGAATAATCACGCATCTTCACTGTTTTAAGTTTTAACAGCCATCAACTGTTCATCAGTTACAACCGTTTGTAATGGGTTCAATCGATGTGCTGCACACAAAATTGTGACTCATGACATTTCCTTAAGTTCCATCGTTGACATATGTTGCACGATGTAATGTCGATAGTATTACATCGTGCAACATGCCATCCGACTTGGCATATAGTCGTGATGCCAATGCGGCTCTTAGTCGGCAAAAAGTAAGCGAAGCGATCCCTCCTACGCCACACAATTGACATGCTTGGCAAGAGCCTTCTCTGCCCGTGGTTCTAAGAACATAGTGTATTTCCAAATTTAAGCGTGAGTTTCTCTTCTTCGGTCTTCAATATGGGATTAAAAACTCAATGCTTCTCCTGCTTTATAAATACAAGGTAACGATCTTCAAATATTAAGGTTCTGAAAAAGTTATTAGTTTGAAATAATAATTAGTATTTTCTCAAAGAAAAAATACTTACAAATAAAGCAATTTTTCCTTTAGAGGCTAAAGAGAGCGTGAGAGATCATTGTCTGTGTCTAATGATGGAGGATTATGATCTGTAGTTTGTTGAGCATACGATACACATGCTGTGTTAGTATCTTTTGATTGAACGGAAAACATTGCATCAAACAAGAAAAGCTCATATCACTTTTTAATTGTCATCTCAGATACCCCTACTTATGTTTTTGGGAATCATGATGAAATGTTTTTTAGTGGAACAAAGGAAAAATATTTCTCTTATTGTTTCTCACTGTTTACAATGGAAAATCCACAGCAGACTTCTTTTGCAGTCTTCAGTGACTTCACCTCGTCGAGCAGTGAAAGGGGGTCTAGTCAAATTATGGTCCAAAAGCAGGTTGATTTCGAGGTGAAGCCAACCTATCTATGGGCCATTAGCCAATGCCGGCTGATTGTGTACTGAACCAAAGATAGTGACAACAAAATGCAAAACAAAAGATCCAAAATTCAGAATTTAGATAAATTCATAATGGGATCTCGAAGTTAAGTGACATTTTTACTAGTCATTGCCTTTTGGTGGCCTTATGTGGATAGACAAAGCGAAAAATCAGTTCTTGAATAGTTGCAAATCAAGCTAGAGCATTTTGACAGTTCTTAACCTCAAATGAGAGGCTAAAAAATAATTACAATTTTCGAATTTCATGGATCCAAACCATTCATACCTGTATAACATATGATAAATGAGCATAACAGGGAGAACCCAAATATTTGCTTAATGTGTAAAATGTAGAGGAAAAACTGTGGACACTTGCACTGGGTGCATCTGTAGATATGGGCACTGCATGTGGTTGGTCTTAAATGGCAGCTTCTCCCGCCAAATAAGAAAGAAGGGTGAGGTTTGTATAAGGTGTGCTCCTTATACCATACAAGTAAGGTATGTCT